AAAAAATCAGTTTTTTTTTATTTTTCACCTTCAAGGTTGTAATTTTTTCCAGCTAATTTGGACTCAAAACTGGCACTGAAGAATTATCTATCAAACAAACAAAAAAAAAAAAAAAACTAAAACAAAAAACGCATAAACTACTTCCGATTACACAGACATACATACACACACACATTTTGAGAATTATAGATATAGATAGTAATTTGTAATGGCAGTTCTGACAAAAACATAACGTACATTGTGTAAGGGTTCGAATATTCGAGGTTGCAGTGAATGGGTATTAAGAGTGTCGGACTAGAAATGAGCGACATAACTCCTCCGGAAATTTCCATTATTCGGATTGTTATTCTTATCTTCATTACCATATTCACAACGTTTCGGTCGTTGTACGCTCCGGCCTTCTTCAGGTGATTAGAATTTCGAACCGAACTCTTGATTTCGTTCACCGGAGTAGATTGTTCTAATTCCACGTGCCATGCATCTTACGGATGTCTCGGTTATTTCCCTTTAACTCAACTCTTCATGTTTTTCGGTTCATCACTGCCGTGGTCTGGTATTGAACTCACAACTCCTTGGGTCTAGTCGCTGGATCTAACCGACGAATTTATTCATTGGGTCATGTGTCCTTGAGCAAAGCATGCAAGTTTGACGGAATTCACAAGCTGTTTACATAATAAAGTTAATATTTATTTATTATAAGTTAAACTGGGTAATTTGAGTTTACTTTCGATTTGGGGATAGAAAATTATATGGAGGACGCTTGGCTCGTTAGAGATGAATTTAAAACGGGGTAATTTTAGCAAAGGGACGGATTTTTGAGGAAATTCTGCCAAATGGGTAACCCCAAATAGGCAACGAATATAATTTGTACCTTAAATGAAAACACGAGTATTTAAAGTGTTTTTAAGGGCAACTTTAAACATCGGTCTCTATCTAACATTATATGAGGATAAGCAAAACATTATCCGCTCTTTAACCATAACATATATTTAGGTTAAACACACTGCCTTCTGCTTATGCTTGCTTTTAGTTGGTACTGTTGTAGACAGGTGGTCAAAGTTTGAGTTTGATCGCGCCAGTTTTCTTGCTGCTGTTACAGTGTAAACATGACCGCCTCGCTAGCAGTGTGCACTAAGGAAAAACAAAGAGCAGTGATCCGAATCTGCAGAGAACATGCTACTTCATCGATGATAACTCGCCGGTTTCCCATTACCATCTCTCGTGCCTGCTGAATCGTCTCGGACGTGGTGGAGGTTAATGGGCGTCCTATGCCTTCTTTGTGCATCACGCTTATCCGATCACTCCAGTCCATTCAGACATACTTCTCTACTGTGATGCACTGTCGCCGTATTGTTTTAAAAGCCTCCGATGAATTTCATCCCCTAGCACACCTGACCAGAGAAATCGAATCATTGTTCCTTGTTCCGCCTTGATAGACACTGCTAGCAGAGCGGCTATGTATACATCGTAACAGCAGTGTGACAAATCTCAAGATATGTTATGGTGAAAGAGCGGATAATTTTTTTAGTAATCCTCGTCTATCACATATGAACTGATTCTCCAGTCGAGGATGTCGGAAGGCAATTCAGTAAATTCTAATTGTTTACTGAACAACATTCACAAATGAATTTTTTAAAGTGGTCAATTGCCTGTGCCCGGCAAATGCACATTCTCTCCATCATAGCACCATGCCCTGTACTGGTGTACTGATCTACTGTGCACCACATGTCAGATAATGTTACAATCAGGGGCTTTTTTTTTGTTAATTTCTGGATAGAAAATACCCATAAAAAGCTCGTCTGCACTTTTCCAAACCTCTCCAGGTTGGTTTAGATTCAGAATTTTCCTGCGCCTAGACTTAGGACCCAGACTTGTTACTTACCCACAGCTAGCGGCTGTGAAGGAGAGAAATGGATACATATCGTTCCTGAGGGTATTTACGCAGAAGGGAATAATGTAACGAACTCGACTGAAATTCGAACCCGGCTCTCCAATTTCTCATGCCGAATCATTAATCATTACATCACACGAACATCCAAGCTTACAGCTCCTGGTATTCTCAAACCCAGGCTTAACGTTGCTTAACCTCGGTGATTGCATATATATATATATATATATATATATATATCGACCCCAACACCTGGGAGGCGGCGGCTGACGATCGTTAGCCTTGGAGAGCCACAGTCAGTGACGGCGTCACGATTGCAGAAGCCGCGAGGGAAGATCAGCAGGCAGCAAAGAGAGCCAGGAGAAAAGCAAGGACAGCCTCCGCCTCCGTGTCATCCAGTTTCCTCTGCGCCAAGTGCTTGAGAGACTGCCACTCCAGAGTGGGACTACACAGTCACCAGAGGCGATGTAACTCCATCGCCTAGAATTAAAAAAAAAAAATATAAACGCTACTCCATCGTCTCCCGAGACGGACCGATGCCGAACGGAACCGAAATATATATATATATATATATATATATATATATATATATATATCAAACAATAGAATTAAGATTATATTACGTTAATGATCATTTTCACCTTGTAAATTGAAAGAAATTTACAAGAATTTTTGAAACCAGTCAATGGCTGATAGATTATTGAATAAATGAAAATAATTTATCATCCATCGACTGCTCTGAAAAAAGCCTTGTTAATTTTTTTTTGAATTTACAAAGTGAAAATGATCATTAACTTAATGTAATGTTAATTGTTTGAAATATGTTGTTCTGTTTAATTAAAACATTGAGTTCTATGTGTGAATCAGTTTTAATATTTAATATTTTATATTGTATTAATAGGATTCACTTGGATTATATACCAACGGATTATTATCTCTCTCTCTCTCTCTCTCTCTCTCTATATATATATATATATATATATATATATATATATATATATATATATATGTGTGTGTGTGTGTGTGTGTGTGTGTGTGTGTGTGTGTGTGTGTGTGTGTGCGCAGTACTTATTGGGAAATGCTCAATATCAGTGATAGAGCTAACTTATTCAGTTGTATGGATATGGTTTTGTGACCCTGTGTTTCACGCTTTTGCGATCATCAGACAAACTTGTTTATTCTTTAAAAATTGAATCTATTTATGCATGTTTGTGTTTGATTAGGTTTGGTGGTGGGAAGGGGAAATCCTCCTCTGTGTCTGTTTTGGGATGATACTCTCACACACATATACATACATACATGCATATAGGTGTACGCAATATAGTTCAAGCAAACATACCCATATATAGAGATTAGGCACAGATACATATCCATACTTTCGAACATACATACATACGCAACTGTAATCCTATTTTGCTGAGATTGTATGTCGCGAAGTTCTTTGAACATTAGGCAGGTTGAGATGTTGTTGGGTCTTTTCAGATCGGCCGTCTGCGTCGTCAAACAAATTTACACTTCCTCCCCACCTACATGTAGCCGTGCACATACACTCCTATTGGGCCGGGCATTTCATCACCACATTGGTTAAGTAGATTCTGTTTGGGGACATGGCAATGATGTCTTGTATATTCAACTTTGCTTGCGTATATATATATGTATATATATATATATTGTGTATATGTTCATATATATAATATATATACATATAATATATATATAATATATATATTTAATATGCATAATACATAATACTTATATTATATATATATATATATATATATATATATATATATATGTGTGTGTGTGTGTGTGTGTGTGTGTGAGGTACGTTTATAAAATATTCGACTTTATATTATATGTTTCCGCCCAAACTAATGCCACGTGGGTAAAATCCTTTCGGTGAAAGGTGGCGCCACCCTTTCTGCGCTTGCGTGAAATCTTTTGTGTCGGTAGGCCTCCACAGTTTCCGGCTGTTACGCCTACAGTATAAACGTTTTGTGTGCGCAAAACGAAAATCTGACGAGCGCGCACTACTTGTTTGTACTCTAGGCGCAATACCCGGGAACTGACGCGGACTACCGGTGCAAAAATTTTCCCGCATGCGCTGAAAGGTTGGCGTCACCTACCGCCTAAAAGATTTTACCCACGTGGATTTGTTTTGAACTGTATCAAAATTGACAAGTAAGGACTGGCCAGCCCCAACCCATATATGGCAACTCGACATTTGGTCTGATCTAGGTCTTGTAAAGATAGAGAATAGACATAAATATCAGGTACTTACTAGGGTGTTACAAGGAACCATTTTCCAGCATATTTAGCTTTGGTACGTATATATGAGCCTCACGACGTCTGGGATGAACTTGAGTCCCAGTAGACGGTCAAGGCAATGAGGCTTCCTTGAGAGAACAACATTTTATTATGTTGGGCGAAAATTCTGACCGTATTGACGACGTCTTAGAGCCCACAATTTTTGGCAAATGTACACCTGAATAAAATCTTTTGAATCGATCCGTAATACTTTCATATTTGATTATTCTTCTAAGATATTAAATATATAAATATATATTTTTTCTACGTTCTTTATCATTTTTCACTTGATTCTGACCTACAGCATCTCTTTAATAATCTGAAATATAATAGCGAGCAGCATGCATTATCGCAATAGACTCAATTTTTAAATGAAAAGTTGGCACGAATGAAAGAAACCTATTAACAGAACTTTGCCGTCACCATTGTAATCAATATCGGAACTTTTTCTCAAATGAAAATATCTTCTCAATAAAAGATTTATAAGCCTTTAAAGACAGATCAATCAATCTACTGAATATTTTATATGAATCCTAAGCCAGTAAATAACCAATGATATTTTCGCTAAGTCTGAGAAAGAATTTAGCTTTTAATAAAAAAAAAAAAACTTTTGAAATAAAAAGATGGCTTCTCCTCTTGCTAGGTCTTTAGAATTTTATTTTCGAATTTTTTTGAGTCCATTGTCATTTTTATCAATGTTATCTTTCTCATCAAAGTTACCCGACTTGACGGGTATCAGTTGACGACACCCGTTTATCGCAAGTGAACATTAACCAGACAAACCTCAATTCCCGCCGTCTATAGCTTACGGCCATATCACGTTGAAACATCGGTTCCCGTACGGTTACCGAAGTTAAGCAATGTCAAGCCTGGTCATTACCTAGATAAGTTACCGCTTAGAAATACCAGGTGCTGCAAGCTTGGATGTCCGGCTGATGTACTGGATAACGACACGGTATTGTTAATCGGAGAGCCGAGTTCCAGTTTCCAAGAGGGTTCGTTGTATTAACTTATGCGCAAATACCCTTGCGAAAATTATCAAACTACCAATTCCCCTCCCAGCTATGGATTAATTAGTAAGACTTGTATACCTAAATCATTTATATCTACAAAAAAAATTTCTTATAATCTAAAAAATTATTTTCTTGTTTTAAATAATATCGCAGTCACTAGCCTGTCAAATGAGTTTACGAGATGAATTTATTAAACACGTTACACTATGCATTATGTGTAGGCATATCAACAAGTCAGCAGCCTAATGGCAAAAAAAAAAAAAAAAAATGTCCCAATAGCTATTTTTAACATAATTTCCTTCTTTGTTAACCCAACTTTTCATTAATTACACAGATTGAGCATTACGCAGTGGAAATCAAGATTTAGACAAGTGTGTCAGTCTTATTGATCCACCCTGGTATAGCCGGTATTTACCCGACCTCCCACGAGGCAGGATGTAGCACAAACGCCGATTTTTACGTGGAGCGATCCGAGCCAGTAGGCTCAGGTAAAATTTCCATATAGACCTCGCATACACGGGGTCAGATTTGTCTACCTCCCCAAACGAGGCTCTGTCCGTAGACATAGCCTCGTCTGGATTCCTAGCTGTCCGAAGGCAGAGAGTTCGACAAGTAAGTCCTGATGCGTGATCCTCTCCTAGTTACGTTTAGATGATTATATGCATGAGATGGTGCCGAAAGGTCATTGTCGTGACATGTTTCCCCAAAATCTGACCAAATAATTGGAGACAACATCCAATCAAAACACAGAGTCTATGAACCTATCCCTGATATTTCTGTAGGCTTGCGCGAACGTAAAATGCACTTTGCGGGACACTACTGGCGTACAAAACGGGAACTCGCGCGTGATTTAATGCTCTGGACACCTAGCCATGACGTAAGACTGGCTGGTCGGTCAGCAACCACCTACATTGGCCAACTATGTTATGACACAGAATGCCACCATAATGACCTTCCGATCCGTGATGGCTGGCGTCATAGACCCATTAATGTCCGAGCTAGCTATACCAAATAAAAAAATGACATAAATTAAAGGAAATAAAAGAAATCAAATATAATTTATTAGCAGTCTGTTGTTCCCCTATTTTTCTAATGAGATATTGAGTGTTAATAGGTGTATTGGTTTCCGGTAATATCTACTGTTACCATAATAACGAAATAATGAATTACTAAGGGCAGATCAGGCAACGTGACTGATGAATGTATATAGTCATATTTTTTTTATAAAATATATACGTATGTGTATGTGAGACAAATAAAAATTTGCTGATGTAGTTTTACAAGATTTAAAATTGTAAGTAGATTATTATAGTTTAGAACGACTTTATTTATTTTTTTCATTTTTAATTCAAAATAACTGGGAAAACGAAAGAAGAATTAAAATGACCTCCAGGGACCGATCAAAAGGTCAGTAGATACCGAAAAGGCATTTCTTTTCTTTGGAATCAAGTTTTTTTCTTCTTTCAAAATCCCAGGAGTTATTCGACAAAAATATACCAGATTTCATATCTCAAATATCCGCTAAATCAATTTGATATTAAGCACAAAAAGAAACTAAAACCTTTTTGTAATATTTGTGCTTGCTATTTCTGAAATAAATAAAATTAAATTAAAAAAAAAAATGTGCGTGTCGTCCAGCAAGTGGTGAATGCAATTCCCTCTGTTGTATTTAAACCTGAAGCATCTGCAGGCGACCCGGGACTCTGCCATTCTTGTCGAAGAGACCGACAGCAGAATTAGATCCACATGTTGGTCACAGATGACGACAGTGTTCCCAAGACAACCATTCATTGAAACTAATAGCATTGGGACTGGGACATTATTTTCCCTCCTTCTCCAACATGGACGCTTTCTTTCAATCTTTCTTTCACACTTCTATCATTCTCTTCCTCTCTCACCGAGACAATTAATTTTCCTTACCTGCCGTCTATTTCTTGCATTGTCCATATTGACTCAGCACAACAGAGTAAAAGCTTAAAATGTGTTGTGAGTAAAGGGAGGAGAAACATTGTGTTACTTCACACTTCCAAGTCGGGGAAATAACCGTCTGTTAAGAAAATCATTACGATTACGCCTCGCATTACACCATTTCGTTTTTACGAAAGACGTACACAAAACGTTTCTCGATATCCGAAATGGCGTAAATCGAAGAGAGAGCAGCAATTAATTTATATAGCAAAAAGATGTTGATCGTTCGTGAATCCTCCCATAGACACTAATTTTACACTATAAAATTTCCTCCGCTATCCGAAATGAGGTAAATTGAAGTAGCAATAGTAATTAATTTATATAGCAAAAAGATTTTGATCGTTCCTGAATCCTCCTCATATACACTAATTTTACACTATAAAATTTCCCCCGTTATCCGAAATGAGGTAAATTGAAGTCACAATAGTAATTAATTTATATAGCAAAAAGATTTTGATCATTCCTGAATCCTCCCCATATACACTAATTTTACACTATAAAATTTCCCCAACTATCCGAAATGAAGTAAATTGAAGTCAAAATAGCAATTAATTTATATAGCAAAAAGATTTTGATCATTCCTGAATCCTCACCATATACACTAATTTTACACTATAAAATTTCCCCTGTTATCCGAAATGAGGTAACTTGAAGTAGCAATAGTAATTAATTTATATAGCAAAAAGTTTTTGATCATTCCTGAATCCTCCTCATATACTCTAATTTTACACTATAAAATTTCCCCCGCTATCCGAAATGAGGTAAATTGAAGTAGCAATAGTAATTAATTTATATAGCAAAAAGATTTTAATCTTTCCTAGATTCCCCAACATAATCTTGGTGGATCAAGGAACACTTAACCTTATACACATTTTACACTAGGAAAATTTATCCCGCTAACCGAAGTGGCGTTAATTGAAGAAGTAGCAATTAATTTATATAGTAAAAAGATTTGAAAAGTTCCAAGATCGTCAACCCAACATAACCTTATACACTAATTTTACACTATAAAAATTTATTCCGCTATCCGAAATGAAGAATCAGTAGCTATTAATGTATATCGAAGAAAAGGTTTTGAGCGTATCCAGACCCCCAAAAATAACTTAACCCAGGCAGACATCAGTGAATATGCAAAAATAGAAAAGGGTGAAAGGCAACGATGTATCTTTTCACGATACTTATTTGATATTTACAGCAAGATGATCCTGAGAGAACTAGAAGTCCTACCGGGGTTTCTTATTAGAGGGCACAATCCTAACTGCATAAAATATGCCGATGAACATATTGTTGATAGGAAACATAGAAAGGAAATGACAGAAACTCTTAGAGAGGGTAGTAAAGATGAAGAGAGAGGGGTATAAACATTAATTGTAAGAAGACAGGATGTATGATTGTCAGCAAAGTACGAATTGGGGATGTCGATATAAAGCAAGTAAAAAATTTAAATATCTGGGAAATGTTTTAACAGAAGACGGAAAAATGTGACACCGAAATCCGAAGGCGTCAGATGCCTTATAATATAATATAATATAATATAATATAATAGCTAGCCAAATTATTAAAAGCAATTAAATAATCTACAGGGTGGTCCGAAAGTCTTGTTACCCCTAGAGAAGGGCTGTATGAACACTATCATTTACGTGTCAGCCATCTGAAATAGAAAATTATATAGGCTGTTCCAGTAACTTTGACCGATTTTAAATGTGAATTAAGTTTAAGCGTCTAATGATTTTTTCTTTTTTCATTCAGATTTAACAACTTAAGTCTTTGGCAATTTCAACGATTGAAAGATTAACAATCAAACAACGTGTTAAAGTTGTCGAAGCCTATTACGAAAATGGGCGTTCAAATTTATAAATAAATAATACCCAATGATTCTGCTAGCAAAAAATGCACACCAAACGGTCACCTTTTGTGAATGCAGTGGCTTTTCAAGAATCTTCCTTGGATTTTCATCAGCCCAAATGCGACAGTTCTGCTTATTAACGAATTCACCAAGATGAAAATGGGTTTCATCACTAAAGAGGATTTTTTGCGAAAAATCTTCATTACCTTGTCTTTGCTCGAGCACCCAATTGACGAATGTACGGCGCTCCAAAACGTGTGAAGCACCTTGTTACTCCAGGACAGAAAGTTAGGTTAGAGAGGGCGAAGATCATTTTGAATAACTTGGAAAATGATCCTGGAATAATATATATATATATATATATATATATATATATATATATATATATATATATATTATTGTTGTGTGTGTGTGTGTGTATAAACTTTATTTAAATCCTTCATGAGCTTCAGATCCTTAGCTATGATTAATTAATGATGAACATGTCATTTTCGTTTAAGATCGATTTCATCACAATTCTTCTGTTAAGCTTAGAGAGTAATAATACATTCTTATTGCTCTAAGTAGATTCCAATAGTGCTATAAAAACCCCGGAGAATTCCAGTAATATATCTTTAATCATTTCTAAGATGCAACGGTTCAAAAGCTTAATCTAACAATTGGACAATTTTTGCCGTTACACGATTTTGGGCAATTTTGCTGTTACACCCTGGTTTGTATATATATATATATATATATATATATATATATATATATATATATATAGAGAGAGAGAGAGAGAGAGGAAGAGAGAAGGAGAAGGAGAGAAAGAGATTTTTCTTTTTCTCGGATTAAAAAGCTGAAGAAGGTTGTAGAATGAGACAACTGGAATGCTGTGTCAACAGCCCGAGGGGGATTTTCAGTTTTTCTTTAAAAAGGTTTGGTCCTATAATCTTTATAATGTTGATTACATTTCTCCTATTACCGACATTATTAGCCACTTCATCAATGCAGCCAATGCAATTAATATCACCGTTTTTTTCTCTTGCTCTCTCTTTCCATCATCTCGTTACCATCGTGACGAACATCGTTCTGAAAATAATCTTCAAATGAATCTTCACATTTCAAGAATTTTAGTTTTCTCTCTCCCTTTCATCCCAACTTATTTTTCTCTCTCGTTTTCTTTGCTTTTTTCTTTCTTTTTTTTATCGCTTGCTTTTGTCTTTCTTTTTTATCCCTTGCTTTTGGCTTTCTTTGTTTATCTCTTGCTTTTGGCTTTCTTTTTTTTATCTCTTGCTTTTGTCTTTCTTTTTTTATCTCTTGCTTTTGTCTTTCTTTTTTTTATCGCTTGCTTTTGTCTTTCTTTTTTATCTCTTGCTTTTGTCTTTCTTTTTTTATCGCTTGCTTTTGTCTTTCTTTTTTTTATCTCTTGCTTTTGTCTTTCTTTTTTATCTCTTGCTTTTGTCTTTCTTTTTTTATCTCTTGCTTTTGCCTTTCTTTTTTTATCTTTCTACTTTACTTCCTTTCTCCTTCACACTTTCTTTAATTCTCGTTTCTTTCACTTCCGGTCCTACAGTCAAATCACTTTGAAACACCGGTTCTCATACGATCATCGAGGTTAAGCAACGAAGAGCCTGGTCAGTACCTAGATGGGTAACCGCTTGCGGAGAGTAGGGGCTTTAAGCTTGGATAACCGGGTGTTGCAATGGATAACTACACTGAATTGCAAATCAGAGAGCCGAGTTCCAATTCCAGTCGTATTCCTTATATATACTTAACACGCAAAAATACTGTTGGGAAAGGTAGGAATCCATCTCTTCCCCTCCCATCTATGGGTTAATTAGTAGGATTTGTAACACGAAATCATATTGCAAAAAACCAAATGTTACAATTTAAAAATATTTTCTGGTTTTAAATAGAACATTTTGAGAAACTATAAAAAAACAAATTCATCCATTTTTTCTCTTTTTCTTTCTTTTTCGAATTTCTCGTTTTTTTTTCTTTCTAATTTCATTTTTCTTTCTTGTTTTGTCTCTTTTTCTCCGTTTCTCTTTGTCGTTTTCTTTCTTTTTCTCATTTTTCTTTCTTCCTCTTTTTTCTCTCTTTTTCGCACTTCCTCTTTCTTTCTTTCTTTCTTTCTTTTTTCTCGTTTTCTCTTTGTATCTATTCCTTTTTCTATTTTTCACTTTCTCTTTATTTCTCTCTTAATTTCTTTTTACTTTCTTTTTTTTCTATATCTTACATTCGCTTTCTTTTCTCTCTCTCCCCTTTCTTATTGTCTCTTTATTTTTCTATCATTTTCTTTTTCACTCCTTTTCTCCACTTTCTTTTATTTCTTTGTTCTTTCTCTCTTCTCTGTCGTTTTCTTTCTCTTTCTCTTCTCTCGTTTTAATTTCATTTTTCAACGTGACTCTTACCCTCTCTTTTCAAACACTGATTTCTAGACTCTCTTTTTTTTTGCATTCACTCTCCCACGTGATCAGCTCCGCTCTTTTCGCTAGCCCCTACCACCCGATACTATCCGCCATCTTCTTTTCATTTTTTTTTATCGCCGTCTCCCCTGAAAGCAATTTCATATATTCTCAGATCTAGAAGACAATTGCAATTCTTCCGATAATAAAATTATCTCCCTTTTCACCATGGCTTTGTCCTTTCGCCACTCACTCTACCCTACCCTCTTAATTAGCAAATGTACGCAATTTTCAGTTATTACCTATGACGACTCAAAAACTTCCTTCCTTTTCATTTATGAATGAACGTGTGAACCCGACGATCCAGTACAATAATCTGACCTTTAAACACGCGCATGCGCAACTTCCATTTGTTCCCGCGCCTGCTCAAGTGTCGCAGTACAGCCGATGAAGGAATTAATTCTTCAGCCAAATGAGTTCATACCAAATGCAGCTTTTTGCCTGCCAATATAAACAGTCTATTTACACGGTTTTGCTTCGGCTGGCAAAACGTACTGGGGTCACTTGCACTAGCCGATGCTAAGCGCTCACCCATCAAAATACTGATCAAGTTTAATGCTGTTTAACTTTTAGTAGGACGCTGAGAATAACAAAGACTGAACATACGAGAAACGGTGAAGTTTTAAAGAAAATTGAAACAAAAAGGACACTTATACTTAACATCAAAAAGAGACAGTTGAGACATCTCAGGCTTTGAAAATTTGACACTCAAAGGCCATTGAAAGTAAGAGAAACAGCGGAAAAGAAGGTGAAACGTACCCAGCGAGCATGAGTAAGTGAATGGCAGAACGGGGTTTCGGAGAGATAACAAAAAGACAATTTATTAAGAGCTAAAACGAACAGGATATTGTGGAGAGCCGTGATCGCCAACATCCTGAAGGAACACAGTACATAGAAAAAGAAGAATACTATATATATTTATCGTATTCGTTATGATGTAACTGTAATAATTACCGCATTTGACGGCATATAAGACGCACTTTTTTTACTAAAAATATCTTTTAAAATTCTCTTGCGTCTTATATGCCATATGTAGGTTTAAAATTCGTGATAGTCGGTCGAAATTAGTTACCTGGCAACTCCTATTAGCTTAGACTTTAGAGTAACTTTTATATACTTATTGTCATTATTTAAAAAGGTTATTATGCAGATTAAAAGTGTTATCATTGATAATATTCATTATATTAATTTAATCCCGTTTAATATTAGTAATTTCACTAAAATTATATGTAATAAATTCAAATTATATATTTGTAAAATGTATTTCTTTCATTAATATCTTGCAATAACTTCCGGTTGCATTGATATAAATAAAATCAGAATTTTTATATCCTAATTATTCCACTAAGACGTTTACAATACGTAGGTTGTACAGATCATATAAAGGAAAATTTTTGACTGAATTTTAATGGTAACTGAATTGTTTTGCTCACTTGTAATAATTGCTTGATTTTTATTTTGTTTTCTTACCTTTGGATATAATAAAGTTTTTATAGGCTTGTGTTCTTACTTTTCCTATTATTTTTCGTTTAATTGTAATCATGGCTTGTTCAACCAAAATAATAGCCCATAAATATAGCCAAGCTGTACCATTTACTAATAATTTTACTAATTACTAATTTTTTTATTTGCCTTGCTGAAATTGGCGCGTGTCTTATACACCCGTGCGTCTTATATGCCGTTAAATACGGTAAGTTTTTTTTTTATTTTTTAGCGTAGGACATGTTTTTGGTTCTTTCCGATCAGTGGATTTCTTCAGTGAAGCGAGCGGAACAAATCGGGGGTCATGAATTATGGTCCCTGATGTAATGAATATGCATACACCTGGGTTCTCCCTCACAGTAATATGATTGGCTGGTGTCAGCCATAAATAGAGACTGATGTGGAGGTACAGGACGACGCCCATTGGCTACGCCTATTGTCTTCGCCTGTTGCCTACGCCTATTGCCTACCACTACGACGAGGACCAGTTCATTCTGGTTACCTGCTAGATTGTCCTACTCGGTTACAGTCGTCCAAAACCACTTTGCTAGTTTGAACAAATATTTCCCTTTCCGGGACATATCAGTCCCCAAAAGTGGTCTTTCATTTTAAACGGATTTGCATAAAAAGGATAGTTTATTGCAAGCATCTGATTTTGTTTTTGCGCAATTGGTCTGATTAAGCGACTGTTTCTTATAAGTGCTCATTCATTTACTTCAGCTTTGCACAATCAATCCTCGCTTCAGTATCGTCTGCAAAAGCGACACGAGGGATGGAGACGTGGGCCGAGGAGAAAAGAAACGGAGGCTTGCCGCCGGGGGAAGAAGCATGCTCGACGGAAAGAAAACAGCAAGACGACATCTTCACATGCATTCATTGCAATCGAGAGTGTCACTCCCGTGTTGGTCTGTGCAGCCATAATCAATGCCGCATCGCCATCAGCAGCTGAGCCATAACTCTTTGGGTGCAGTTCCAATGTTTCTCGTGACCGATGGATGCCACACGCACATGGTACAATAAAATAAATGTGCTGAGCTACATTGATCTCAAAAATTTAGCCGCCGAAATTTAGATTGAATTACTGAGTTAGAAAATATAGACAGAATTAGACAAAAGTACTTTATTTTAAATACTTATTTAAATACTTCATTTTAAATACTTCATTTTAAATAAATTATAAAAAAATACAGAGGTAGAACAAAAATATATAGATATATTGAGAGCGATAGCGAGAAGATTTTTTTCTTTTCTACAGAGAGTTAAAAGGATTGATTAGATAAAAAGCAGTGAAATATTTGTTGAATAAAATCAGGCTTTCACAAAATTGAATTTGTTGCGTTGTTTTATGCCGGAATCTTGAGAGGAAAGGCTAACATTGTTTGGGGTTTATACTTGAGTGAAATTTAAAAAAACCCCCCCAAAACAATGAAACGATTAATAGACGAATGCAATAAACATTTTTCTAAAAAAATATGGAGGCTTCTAAATTCAGAATAAACCATTCCGTAGTAGATACCAACATTTCTCTGCAAGCAATAAAATGCTGAAGAAACATAGGCTCGATTACATTTTCCATAGCAGCGGTTCCCAAAATAAAGTGCCTGCAACCTCAGGGTTGCCAGGCGGAGTTTTATTGTGTGCGACTGAGTGGCTTGTGTCCTTGAGTCTCTAGTCATTTACTCAGGTAACTGCCGTTGGGCTTTGAGTGGGTCGGGGACATTTCGTTGACGCCAGCTCCTATTGAAATTCCTAAAATTTGAAGAATATGTCAGATGTTGAAGATATAAAAGGTTTGGTTTGGTTTGTTTTACGGCATATCAACCTCAATGGGTTATTTAATGCCGACACAATTTTTATTGCTGGTAATATTTTCGTATTGTTGGTAATATTATTTTTTCAAAAATGTATTGTTGATATTTTTTTTTTCAAAAATGTATTGCTGATAATAATTTTTTACAAAGTTTTTCTGATATTAAAACCTATTTTTACACTTTCATAGTATTTTGACTCCAGTTTCGGGGCTAACTATTTGCCCATAGATGGGACTCTAACAGGTGCTACCACCCCGGGTCAGGGTGGACCTGGAAACACCAGCAATTAAGAGGTGGTTCCACGCTCCTCAAAACCTCCTGATCAGAGGCCTTGCTGTTGGACTTAGTTTATCGTCTTACCCAGGACGCGGATGTAGTTTATCGTCATACTCAGGACGCGAAGATATAAAAGTAAGATCTTATTGGTTTGTGGACGGGTCGGGATCTCTCACTCTTTCTCTACATATATAACTTCAAAATTCTGTCACAATCATTGCCACCCTTGAGAGGGTCCGGATATGCAGGTATTGTAGAAGTTAGTATCTCAGAACAAGAAACTGGCAAGCCGAGTTTGATACATTCACTTATCTGCAAAGGCATGGATCCTATGGGTTAAATAGTAGAGTCTACAGGACTTGAGTTAGTGAAGGAGTGAGATTATATATATATATATATATATATATATATGTGTGTGTGTGTGTGTGTGTGTGTGTTATGTGCCATGCGTGGTAAATGCTTAGGCGATCATGTATCTTTCGATACATGACTGTCGAGGCAGTAAGTTGCCATCCCGGAGTAGGTTGCAATTTCTTTCTGCCATCCAAGGCAACCGGTCTACCGACACCCGCAACCCGGTATTCCTTACTATTTAACCATAACTGGGGGGAGAAGAAGAGGATTCATACATTTCCCAAGGGTTATTATTCTCAACCCGAGCCGCTATCCATTCCGCCACCGTGCCTCCTATCTATCTATCTATCTATCTATCTATCTATCTATCTATCTATCTAATATATATATATATATATATATATATTTATGTTATAATTTTCTAATAAATAATTATATTTGCTCTACTCTGTATTGAGCACTCTTTTAAGAATAGTATTTGTTGGTTATTGGAATTTATTCCGTATACACCAATCCTATATTTGGGTATGTATATATATATCTTAAAAGCATTATTTTCCAGAAAGAGATTTATATTTGTTTAATAATATTAATGCTCTATTTCATAATATTCAACTCTTTATTTACAAAGACTGATCGCCTTAAAAGCATTATCCTCCAGAAAGACACTGATCAACTGATTGTTTTGCTTTTGCATAAATTATTATGAGATTATGTACAGTAGAAATACCTCCTCCATTTTAAAGGTTGGCAAAAAGACGAAGGTAATTGCTATTAAAGAAAATTATTTTACTGCTGTTTAAACAAAGGGCTACAGTTTTTATTAATTTGGTTTTAAAAATGACATCCTCTAAATGGTGGCTTCTATTCGCCATACATACTGTTGCGGATGATTTTTTAAGTTTTCTGACACCCGAAAGTGAGCTTATTTTAATCACTGAACCCATTTTACTGAAATTTTCAATCCATTGTGCTATCAATTTTCACGAAAAGCTGTCCATGTTGCAATTAGATTCACTAGTTATAAAAAAAACCCGTTTCAACTGCTAACGCAGTATGCATCTGTTCAAGCCATCATGGTATCTGATGGTATCCGGAAAAATGGTAGATCACCATTTGCCTAAGTTCATTAGCACTGCACAGATAAGAGTTTAAAATGTGGGAGGTATTTCTGCCGCACCCTCTATATCTCTCAAAAATTATAAATTAGTCTTCTTCATCGTCCAATGCAATGTTACTTTTTCAGGACGGTGCGACCATTGTTCAAGCATTTACTAGGGGCGTGGGACATAATAAAAGGTTTGAAATCCCCGCTACAGAGGCATTCCTTAAATGGCATTTGTAACTTGTAAATTCAGGACTAATATCCTTATCTTCATTGCTATATTAAAAACGTTTCTAAGTCCCAGAAATTCATACGCAGATTTCCTCAAGGACATATCGCCCAGTGGATAAGGACGTTGGTTAGATCCAGTGACTAGACCCAAAGAGTTGTGAGTTCAATACCAAGCCACAGCAGTGGTGAACCAAAAACTTGGGGAGTTGAGTTAAAGAGAAATAACCGAGACATCCAGAAAAGACGTCACGTGGAACTATAAGAATCTTCCTCGGTAGTTGAAATAAAGGGTTCGGTTCCAAATTCCAATCACCTGAAGAAGGCCGAAACGTTGTGAATATGGAAATGAAGATGAGGATATCAGTTCGAATAATGTAAATAATACAAGTAATCATAATACCTCATCTCAGAGATCCAATTACCTGAAGAAGGCCTGAGCGTACAACGGCCGAAACGTTGTGAATATAGCAATATAGAGGATATCAGTCCGAATAATGTAAATAATACAAGTAATCATAATAACTCATCTCAGAGATCCAATCAAGGAAATATTCTACTTCCCAACACCCATGATAAATACATAAACCTATCAACTGACATATTAACGGATGATCAAAAGGATTTTTAAATTTAGGACCAAATTGCCATCTCCAACCTAAATTCGACCTTCTCACAAAGAAAACTGAAATTGAAATCTTACATCAATCATTATGTCAACTGGAAAAGGACAAAATTAATAATACTCCATCCAAACCTCAAAGATCTTCTCAAGGTAGAAGGTCTAAAAGATTATATTCCACGTAATAGAAACAAGAACATTCCAAAAAAACTCGAAATTGCTGCTACAGAATTAAAAAAACAACCCTAATATAGTCATCAGAAAAGCTGATAAATCCAATATTTACTTAATTTTGGATAAATTGGATTATCACAAAAAACTTCAGTATTTCATTGATGATCGTTCTAAATTTACTAAATTGAATAAGAAAACTACTGAATCTCTAAAAAAATATGCTAATAAACTTATAACATCCAACAATGCTGTTGCAGAATCCTTAAAAATAAACAAAATTATTGGAGATTACCAACATGGCTTCTTATACGGTAATGTTAAAATGTACAAACCGGGATACCGATTACGAACTATTATTTCTCAGATTCCAACATGCACATACCAAATATCAAAATTTCTCAATGATATTATTACGCCATATCTCTCTACTAACTTATAGCATTAAATCTACTCATGAATTCCTTCAAATACTTAAAAGAACAAAAGTAAAAACAAACCACGGCATTCTTGCATCACTTGACGTAGAGAATTTATTTACTAATGTTCCCGTCTCCAAAACTATTGATATTATCATTAATTCGGTGTATAAAAATAATTTAATTCCACCTCCAACCCAATATTTTGAGAAAACTATTGCTCGCTTGCACCACTAGAGTTCCTTTTTATAGCCAGAATGGTACTATTTACACACAAACTGATGGAGTAAGTATGGGAAACCCTGTCGGGCCGTGCTTCTCCAATTATTATATGTCCTATGTTGAAAACAAGGTTTTTACTAAAGTTATTAAACCTAAAATATATGTTCGTTATGTAGACAATATATTTATTTTAGCTGAAAACAAGAAAGAAATACAAAATCTGAAAGCTACATTTCAACAAAATTCCTTCCTAAATTTTACTTATGAACTTAGTGAAAAAAATAAACTTCTTTTCTTAGATGTTCTCGTCGATTTTAGTAATAATACTTTTAAAACTTCTGTTTATAAAAAAAAACAACTTGTAAAGTCTCTTGCCATCTTAATTTCTCTAGTGAATGCCCTCTTAGATATAAAATAGGTGTTATTAAAAATTTCCTCACGAGAGAGCACGAGAATTCATCCTCTGGCACGCTTTTCATTAAAGAATTAAACAATGTAAAACAAACGCTAATTAATAACGGATTTCCTAATCAATTGTTGGATTTCCACATTAGGCGTTTTCTTGTCTAAGGTAACTAATAGCAACGGCGAGAATAGAAACATAAACAATAACATTAATATTTTGTATAAAAATCAGATGAACGAAAATTATAAACAGGATGAATGCAGAATTAAGAACATTATAAAAAATGCATAACATCAGTTGACAATAGCAAAAAAAAAAAAAAAATTAGATTAATTATCTATTACACAAAATTTAAAACCTCTAACCTTATAGTTAAAAATAATAATTCATCTCTTAGAACAAAATTAAATAAGGCAAATATTATTTACGGATTTAAATGTCCATTAAGGAATTGTATTCCTGATCAATCAAAATTCGTAAATAATTATATATGCTAAAATACTACATCATGTTTGATACGCAGCCTCACTCTACACCTTTCTGACCATAGCTCAATTAGATCTCATTTAAATATTCATGGAGACCTACTGGACACTATTCGTAACATACTTGTTGACAACACTGACATAACAGCATCATCTACATGCAAAAAAAAAAAAAAAAAAAAAGGATAAAAAAACGAAAGCTTTATTAATAAAAACAAAAAAAACAACACTTAATAATATTAACTTTTTAAGACATTTTTATGTTTATACATCCTTTTTATAGATACAAATATTTAAGTAAATGCTCTGTTTATAATAAACAGTATTAAACAACATTTACCGGCCTGAATGTCCGAGAAATTTTCACAGAAAATATTCGTCTTCCGAATTGTATCTATAAAAAGAATGTATAACCATAAAAATGTCTTAAAATACTTGTGAGACTTTGTCCATTTCATAATATTAACTTTGAACATGGACATAATATCTTAACCGTGTTTTGAAAAATGAAAACATTTTATAAAACATACATAAAACAAACTATTTCTTATTTTAACAGGTAAAATATTTAATCCTTGAAAATGGCTAAATGTATAGCCGAAAGCGTTCGGATAAAAAGAACATTAGGACAGTTTTTATATAATTTATCATCCGAAAAGAAAAAATATTAGATCACATGAGAAATTGTATAAAAAACTAAATAAAAGCACCTTGTCTGTAGTTTCAATGAAATGTGCATATATATATGTGGGTATGTGTGTGTGTGTGTGTGTGTGTGCGTGCGTGTGTATGTGTTTGTGTGTGTGTATGTGCGTCTGTGTTTGTGTGTGTGTGTGTATGTGTGCGTGTGTGTGTGTATGAGTGTATTTGGACAGTAATTCCTCTTGTTACTATAGACGAGCGACAAGGTACTTCGATTAAGCTTTTTACTCAATTTTTCTTGTGTTTTTTATAAGCGATTCTTTTCAGGCCATAAAGTCTGTAAAAACTGTTCGAACGTTCTATATCAAGAATTTTTTTATTTTCTATGTTTAATATATATATATATATATATATATATATATATATATATATATATATATAGAGAGAGAGAGAGAGAGAGAGAGAGAGAGAGAGAGAGTTTGATGGATAAATTGTCGTCTAAATTACGCAAAAATGAAAATAACACTGGCATCTTTTAATAGATATATTTACCAAAATTGCCCCAAAATATCTTGAAATACTAAAGAGTAAATTTATTCAATAAACTCGCCATTGGCTTCAACCACAGCCTCCAGACGACTTTGGAATCTCCCGCAACTCTTCTGGACAGTCTAATTTTTTTTTTTAACTTGATGAATGCTGCTATAATCCATACTTTCAGTTCACCTGCTGTTAAAAATTGTTTTCTTAATCTCTCGCTCAACTGCGCTCCACACATAATAATCACGGAGTTGCAATCTGGGGAGTTAAGTGGCCATATTTAAGGGCTGATGTGACCGTAAAAATTGTCTGACAGCCATGACTGGGGTCGCTTGCTTGTTTGACATGGTGCAGAGTCCTATTACAAGACATAGGGCCTTCCAGGAGCCACTCTATTGATCCAGGACAGAACTACCTACTCAAGGCACTTGATGTAGGCCTCTGTCGGGTTTGAGGCCCTGTGGGATGATGAATGGAGGCATAACGTCACCATCACTATTGATCACCCCAGACACCTGCGAAATGATTCGACAGTGTGTGGGAGTATTTGAATAATAACGCCAGTCAATAATCCGACGGGTGCATGTGTGTGTAGAAGCAAGTGGAAGACATTTGTTATAAGTTGCTGAGTTAGGATACAACGATGGTCTTTTGGAACTCCCCGCCCCTAAAATGTGTAAAAGTATTTTTGGATTGTTTCTTTGATTATATATTTAACAGCGTCTAACGTAATCTTTAAACTTAATAACTCAAAGGATTTACGGATATATGTTTATATGAACTTTGACCTTGTTTTCGTGTGTGGGACTTGCACCCAAAGTTTGTGTAAACGTATTTCAGATAAACTTTGTATATATGAGTTATATTTCGACAACAAATATTCAATCAAACAAGTCTAATAAAAAAATATAAAAAATAAATGTCAAAGTCAAAAGGACAATTATTCTATACCAACGCGTTTCGTCCCTTCAGGAACTTCATCAAGGTAAATGTGGAGATTTTATTCCGTAAATCTGTATTTATGCACAGAAGTAAAAAGAATGAAAAAAATATCGTTACATTTTAAAATTTTGATTTTCAGAACGTTCTAAAATATTATTAAAGCTCCTTATGTAAGGAAAGGTAAACTTTATATTGATTGTTTAAATGCTGCTTATGTTCACCTCACACTAAATCCCATGTGGAAGGCTTGAAACTACTTATCTATGTGATCTGTTTCGTTACTGGATATCCTGGCAATTTGGTGGAGTACATCAAGAACCTTAAGTGCACTTAAAAGTCGTGTTTATGAGGGTGGAAAGCGCTTTATATCCTAAAACGAACTTTATTATGAAGTAATGTTACTGCTTTTATGAGGCAATATTACCATTTTCATAAAGTAATACTGCCTATTTTATGAAGTAATATTAACTTTTTATGGAGTGATATTATCATTTTTACTAAGTAATATTGCATTTTTATGAAGTAATATTGCCTTTTATTATGAAGTAATATAACCTTTTTATGATGCAATATAACCGTGTTTATGAAGCAATATTAACTTTTTATGAAGTGATATTGCCTTTTATTATGAAGTAATATTATCTTTTAATATTTATAAAAATTGAGTAAAAAGCTTTTTTATAAATATTACCGTTTTTATGAAGCAATATTAACGTTTTATTAAGTAATATTACCATTTTTATGAAGTAATATTGCCTTTTTATGAAGTAATATTACCGTTTTTATGAAGTAATGTTTCTTTTTATGAAGCAATATTGCCTTTTTTACGCATAAATATGTCTAATTAACTTATTGACTCGACAGTAAGCAGCTTCAATTCATTAGAGATGATCGAAATTATGTCAGTAAATATTGTTATATTTTTCTGCTTTGTTAATTGCAATTTTTGTGTCATTTCTTTGAACAAATTAACTGCTGGTTTAGTCATTGAAATTTGTTCCCTTACTCTTATTCTAACATTAATTTTTTTTGCGATGATTGCATAAAAAGTAAAACTGGCCAAAAATAATTTTTGACATATTTAAGTATAAATTAAATTATCTTCATTAATCACAATAATTATGATTTTCTTCAAGTGTCTATCATAATTGGCAGACATCTGGAAATTTCGAAATTGACATTTATTTCAATCCACGAGTTTAGCTTGCTCTTACTTTGTGTATAATAGGGGAGATAACTCGTATCAGTTAATTTTTCTTTATTTTTCTATGGTTCATAACCTTTTTTTCCCTAGTGCCTGGATATTTCTTCAAATTGGTGACCCCTATGTTAAAATTGCCCTGGTAAATAGAGTAGAGTTAATGCAACAGAGCTAATGTCACGTGTTTCCGTTTTCTTATATTATCGCAGCGTCAGTCACCGGAAGTAAGCTGAGCCAAGCGGCGTTCATCTTAAAAGCTGCTTGATATTAGCTTGCTGGTTGATCCATACACATTTTACAAGTGAAGTTAAATGTTTAAAATTTAAATATTTAGGCAACAAGATGAACCAATGTGTATTTTTAATGCTAGATCTTCTCACGATTAGGGGTCAAAGGGTTAATTAATCTAATTGGCCTGTTCAAATTATAGCGCCCCACATAACTTCCCGTTTATTATCTTAAAAGTCTGAAATACATCGGTGGGTGGTGGTGGTCGTACCCCCCCGTATTGGGAACCACTAGTCTATTCTTCTTCTTCTTCTTCTTCTTCTTCTTCTTCTTCTTCTTCTTCTTTTAGCCATATCACGTTTAAACATCGGTTCCCGTACGATCACCGAAGTTAAGGAACATCGAATCTAGTCAGTGCCTAGATGGGTGACTACTTGGAAATACCACGTGCTGTAACCTTGGAGGTGTGGGTAGTGCAATGAGTAATGGCACGGAAATGTTACTCGGAGAGCCGAGTTCCACTTCCGGTTCCGTTCGTTATGAGCAAATACGTATAAATTCATGTTTTCTATCCCCAGCTATGGATTAATTAGTAATACTTGAATCATTAAATTGTTATTATCTAAAAAAAAAAAAAATCTTACACTCTAAACATATTTTCTGACTTTAAATAAACTGTAAAGGTTGATAAACCGTAAAAAAATGAGTCAATCAATAAAAAAATGATTTCAAATAAAATAGCCTATATTCAACCGAATGATGGTCGTAACGGAATATCATTCAATAATTTCCAGTTACTCTCATTTTCTGAGAAGACCTTATAGTTTTGGGAAGGGATGTCATAATCTGTAATGAAGAGCAGTTTGAACAACATGAGTACACTCAAACCCTCGGTCACGATGACTTGGGACTTCGTGCTAGAACAACTATCGATGGCTTTCGAACAATTTCATCTACCTAATTTCACTTGCAATATTTGGGTTAAGCAGTAGTATGGCTCTTCAGGCAGTTTCCAAAGGTGCCGCCCGCTGGGGTTGCCGATAAGATTTTCCAATACATACATATATACATACATATACATCCATTGTGATATGGTGGGCTGAAGCCCCTCCTACACTTTTTACTGAAACTGAAAACTAAACAGATGCCTAAATGTGTCCTCTTGGCCTCAATCTATGACAAGGCTACTCAGTTGAGTTGTATCATTTGTCGAAAGCATTACTGCCATTATTATTTTTTTAAAATAAATAAGAAAAAATAGTTTGTTTTTTACGAAATATTAGCTCCTAAAATTAAGTATTATGTGCGGGAAAGGTCTATAGGTCACATTCCAGGAAATAAATACAAGCGAAAAACAAAAAAAAAAAAAAATTCTTACAGTAGGCTAATAGATACAAAAATATACATAAATTTTATGTCGTATCGGGAATCTTTAAAAACTGATTTAACACCTCCATTTTTTATTTTGTGGCGCCGTAATATATATATTTATATATATATAACTTATAATATATACATATACATGTATACACAAATACACACATCCATATATATATAACTTAAATTGCGTATATTTTGGAAGCATGTATTTATTAAGACATGTCCCATTAAATAATTTAGACAAGATTTTTGAACTTATTTTTAATAGGATCTTCTCGTAATTACAAACAAGTTTCTTCTTATTAAAAGAAAGAAAAAATTACCATGTTGATGCATGTTTCTTCAGAGTACTTTCGACATTAACACAATGTCGTCATCAGGGTCTTGATAATTTTTTTCTTCCTTTAACAAGGATACTAAGAAAGGATCCTATCAAAAATAAGTAGACAAAACTTGTCTAAATTATTTAATGAGACATGTCTTTATATATATATATATATATATATATATATATATATATATATATATATATATATATATATATATATATATATATATATATATATATATATATATATATATATATATATATATATATATATATATATATATATATATATATATATATATATATATGAGTTAAAAGTCAAGGTTAGCACGTATTCTGACCCGGGCGCCACATACTCTAGCTGCGCCACTGCTAAAAGGGATGATTTACAACGTGAAACCTGTAAATGGACCCAGGATCCGCTATTTTAATGCCGCAGCACCGCTGTGTGTGAGAGACACGTCTTGGTTGTTATCGTATAAATTTCAGTTACTTTTCTTGACAGAAGCTCGTTGAAGAATATGCATTACTCCAGTACTTTCTGCATTTTGTTGAAGATTATTCTGGATGGGCTCGATGAATTACTATATATATATATATATTGGAATAATGCTTTGATACTACAGAATGAATAGATGGGTTTGAATAAACACAATTTTATGCTCATTTGTTTTTGTTAGGACCTAAGCAACCTTTCTGCCAAGGTTTCTTCAGGCACCGATCGTTGGCACAAATGAAGTAATGAGAAAATATGCAGATAAGGCTGGAACACGACTAAAAGAGATTTATGATTAAAACGTAAACTTTAGAGAATAAGTAAATGAACGAACCAGAGCATAAAACAAGTAAAGAATCCCTCACTAATCTCGAAATAAGTTTAAAGATGGCAAAAATTATCCTTTTGGCTACAGATAGATGGCGGTTGCAAGTTATGCAAATTGCCTCCAAAACTAGCAAATGGTGTTTGGACCTGTTTATATGCAAAATAGAGAAGGAGTCCGTCGTGAAACACGACGAGCGCATCTCATTCTCTAAGAGGTGTTGTCCGATTGTTGAATTGTGTACCGACTGCGACACACGAGTTGGTCCATTCTTGCTGCCAATCTAAGATTAGTTCGTCCTATATACTCAGCTTCACACTGGCATTTAAACTTGTAGATAAGTAAACTCTTGCTATAATAGAGCCGAAAACCTTTCAATGAAGGAAACACTAGATGAGTACCAAAAAACAACACGTTAGCTTTTCTAAATTCTTCCAGTTGTTAAAGACATTTTGTTTGTTGTTTATGGATTCTTTGTTTCAACAAATTCAGTGCTCAATTTTATATAACAGTGCAGTTAAGTATAGATTAATGAATATCCATAATATCCTTCGTCGATAGCACGACTCGAAGTTTTTATGCGGATACGCGACTTTCAGGTCCAAAATACTCATTGACTGAGTATTCTGAACCTGAAGATTGCGTATCCGCATGAAACTCCGAGTCGTGTTATCGACAAAGGATATTATGTATATTCATTAATATATATATATATATATATATATATATATATATATATATGAATGGTGATACTCGTTTTAAAAAACCTTGGTTAGCTCAACTTGTAATATAACAAATTGATGTCTGAAGAAAAAATTGGAAATAAAAAAAAAGGAACCAAGAATATAACACTGTGCGAATTCTCTCGTCAAGTGCTTGAGCTGCAAGTCCAAAGAAAAAAATAACCCAAAACGAGTAAAAGACTAAACGTAAAGTGCTCAATACACGAAGTAGAGCAAAAACTAAAATAATCCTAAGGATACAGCCAAACCTACCTAGGTTTCACCTAAACGGATCTTCAGGGTAAAACTGGCTCTCTATATATACGAGCGCCGTTCAAAAAGTTCTAAGCCTCACTCAGAAAGAAGATCCATAATCGAACAATTTTGTTGTGGCAAAACACTACCACTTCTTATAAAACTATATATATATATATATATATATATATATATATATATATATATATATATATATATATATTGCGATAAACGTGCAATCAATTTACAAATTCAAGATGTCTGTAGGAACAGACGAAAGCTTGTAGTAAAAATAAGAACTAATACGGCAGAAATTTATAGAAACAAGGATCATTTCATTCATAACGGATTCGGAGGTTTTTGTATATTATTGAATTGTTTGCGACGATGGATTTCTCGCCAATTAAATCATTAACCTTTGCATTTGTTTTTTGTGTGAATATATATATATATATATATATATATATATATATATATATATATAAACTAATCCTGATTTTTGTGTAGGTGAGGCTCATACAAAGGTGAGAGGTGTATGACAAATCTAAAAATAGAGAAAACAGAGGCCCGAGCATCTGCAAAAGAAAGGTATGACATCCATGAAGACATCATACTGACACTTGCGAATGATATCCCCCCTCCCTATGTAACTGTGGAGAAGTCGGCTGCGAAAATCGAACGAGGCAGGGACAGGACAGCACAGAATATGACCCTCTGTCACGTCGTCCAAAAACCTCAACCATTGATGAACAAATTGATGCCATCCACCGTATGATTTTGGATGACAGACTGATCCAGCTGATAGCTAAGTCAATAAGCACTAGTTCGGGTCTATAAAAAGCTGAGATATTGGGGATGAGACAGCTGTCTGCAAGATTGGTCTCAAGAATGCTGGCACCAGAGTAAAAGCTGAAAAGGATTGACATTTCCAGGACATTCGCTTCCTGACTGACACTAAGAATTCTGTTCCTTCTGTTGTTTCCTTATGTAAGAGGGTCGTTCAAAATGTTCTAATCCTTACCTAGAAAGAAGAGCCATTTTGTTTTGACAACACACTGACACTTTTTATAAAATTAGAAAAGTTAATTCAGATTTCTCTCTGAATTTCTGTGCAGGTGAGATGCATACAAATGTGAGAGGTGTGCGATAAATCTAAAATTGGACAAAAACCGAGGCTCAAGCGGACATAAATGACCTGAAAAAGAAAAGTATGGCACCCAAGGAAATCCATGAGGCCATTGTACAGACATTTCTTCAGGACTCACCTTCCTATGCAATTGTGAAAAAGTGGGTTGTGGAATTCAAATGGTGCAGTGACAGCACAGAAGATGACCCTCAGTCAGGGCGTCAAAGAACGTCTAGCAGATATCAAAGTCCATAGACATTAATTTTGGTTCTGTCCTTATTGTTTTAACAGACGTCTTAGGGATGTCTGCAAGATGTGTCCCAAGAATGTTAACAGCAGTGCAGAAGCTGAAAAGTGCAGATATTTCCAGGACGTTTCTGACTCGCTTCCAGGCTGACCTTGAGAATTTCCCCCACAGATTAGTAACATAAAACCTGGATCACCACTTTATACGTAAAAGACATCAAAGATCCAAAGTAAACAGTGGAAACGCTCTTGTACTCCACCCTGAAGAATTTCAAGCAGGCAGCGTCTGTTGGCAAGTTGATGGCTTCTTTTATTCTGAAGGCTTATTTACGATAGACAACCTAGAAAAGGGGAAAAACTATTAATGGCCAGTACTATGCATCAGAATTAAGACAACTGAAGGAAACAATCAAATTGAAACGTAGAGGGAAGCTGAGGGTCGGTGGGCTCTTGCTCCAGGATAACGTTCACATTGCTTAAGCTGCAGTGGCTGAAGCAGCCAACTATTGCTTTGAATTGCTACTACATCCCCACTTACTTACCAAACTTACTTCCATGTAACTTCTTTCTGTTTCCTA